AGTACATTTTTAGCATGGATATATGCAGCTTTTTACCACAGTCAGCAAATAATCTTTTCCTTTGGCACGCTCCTGGTTCTTTTTCTGGTAGAATGAAATTGGACAGGGAAAGTTATTCCACAAAGCTTCTTCAGACTTCAAAGCAAGCTAACAGTCTGTATTGAACTGAAGGTTTTCAAATTAGGCAGCAGTGTGGTTGCCAGGAAAATCAACTCCAACTCAAATCATTCTGGCCTAAAAGCTGGGTGTGAGGGCCCGCAGCTCACGAGTGCTCTGCCCAAAGATGCTGTGCTCCAAAGCAGCTCTCAACAGCAGATAGATTTCACAAGATGTCTGGCAGATGAGTTCCCACCTTCACGACAGGTGAAGGCCACAACGCAGCGGGCTACTAACATAAAACAATCCCCTTGGTAATGAGAAGCATGCAGTGCTGTAGCTGTGCACAAGTGCACACAGCAGTAAGGAATCCCATTTGCAACAAAGAAAATGTTAGCTAAAATCAGCCAGGTTGCTCTTCACCAGGGCTGCAGTTCTGTTGTGCTTACTCCCACCCACCACCACCATGCCATTTGCTCAGCACCGACCCAGGGGGCAAAATGCTATCTCTGAAATTGGTAATATTCCTGCCTGTGCTCCTTTGTTCTTTTGAGCATTTACATTTAAATTCAACCAGGCAACGTTTTGTTTGAGATCTGATGGGAACCCAAGAAAATGCAGCATGATTTACATGCATGAAATGCGCAGGCTTGAAGCAGTGCCTTAAAATTAGAGAGTCCTGGAAGCAATAATCACCACAACCATTCCTTTTGCATTATTTCTATGACAATGGTATTAGGAGAGTTGATATGAAAATATGGAAATGTAATCTCATTAGAGGAGATCAGAAGGTAGCTAAGGACACAAATTTCTGCAATTACATCCTTGAAAAGATGCACAGTGCTACCATTCAAGCCAGTTCATGCCAATTCCAATTAAATGCACGGTGTATCAATTAACATCTACATAGAACCAGGAAATAAAACACACAAGAAGACTGTTTTAGGAGTATTTATTTTTTAAGATATGACAATTTTTGCTTTACAAAAACAGCAGTGTCTGGGCAATGAACTCCTTTCCCGTTGCTGACATACAGCTGCAGTTCAAGTAAGCTCACAACATTTCTCGAGAACATTAAGATAGTTATTTATAAATCCACATCCAAGTACTAGAAACACTATTTGATAAACCAACTTGTCCTCCAGTTTCAGAAATGTTGTTCTACCAGCAACCAGCAGCCTCTCCTTCCAGCTGGTGTTTCACAACTCTGAGAGCAATAGCAGTTACCTGTACCAATCCTTTCCCTTCTGATTCCTGCTCTTATAACCCAACTTTTCCTGGAGCTGAAGGAACAGCCTGAGGTTCTGAACATGCTCTGAGATTAAGCAGAAAGCCCAATGCCAAGAACTCACAAATTAATGGCATTTGAGCTATATGTTGCTAACTGCTTTAGCATTTCAGTCTCATGCAGGGATTCTTTTTGTTTGCAAAATGATGTTTGCTAGTGAAAGTCAATTCTCTGGATCCATCTGAAACATACTTTTAAGAGGAATCTTTTTTTTAATAAAAGAAGTCTCAGCTGACAAACAAATGTCACTGAAACAAAGAGAAAAACCTATCCTAGCTAACAAGAGATGAGCAAAGATGGCAAAGCTCTTTAGGAGGAGGAAAAAAAAAACAACAACAACAAACCAACAAAATGGTAAATATAGACAAAAAAAAAAAAAAACATTAATTCCATGGACTCTGGGTTCAGATTTTTCACAACACAGAAAGTAGATGATGCATTTAAAATACAGTATGTCAACCACTATGGGGCTAACAGCCATTTGAACATTTGCACTGCATGTGCTCATCATCCAACAAAAAAGAGCAAATGTGCCAGTCTCAAAAGTAGAATTTCTTTGCTTTCCTCAATTTGGCCTATTTATATATATATATATATATATATGTATGTATATGGCAATGGATAGACTATGTGAAGAAAAAAAGAATACTGGAAAAGTCAGTAATAAAACAGCAGAAGAAAATCCATGTAAGTTTCTAAGCAATTATTACATTGTAAAACAGATGTTTCAACAGCAAGCTTTCAAGTTTCATTTTGTTCTCTAAGACCAGATATGAAAACTCTATAAATAGAAAAAATATCAAAAGGAGACATTTTAAAGATGAAAAAAACAGCTCTTCTCCTGAAATATATCATAGTATATATAGATTGATAATTACAACGATATTTATTCGATATATTATATGATAATATATATATACGATATATACGATATATACGATATATATACGATATATTGATAATAACAACGATATTTTAGCTAAGCTAGTTACTAAAACAAGCAATCAGCCATGACAGACTTGAAGTTTCCCAGTTCTCAGCAAGCAGTGATGCTTAAACCCCAAGGCTGTGATTTCCAGCAGCATTCCGTTGAGTATGGGTCACCAGAACACGATGGCACAAGTCTGCCACCTGCTGAAAAAAGTCAAACCTGCACTAACAGAACAAAAATCAGAGTAGAGGACTTTTTCCTGCAGGATTTTCAGCAGAAAGAATCCATCTACACACTATCAGAGTAAGAAGTAAAAACTATTTCAGCATGTACATGTTGTTCATGGTGTCAAATTCGTGCTAATTTTGAATACAAACATGTTGCTAAAGAACGGAAGAGGCAAAAAACAACACAAAACACACACAAATAACAGAGAATACAATTTATAAACTTAGTTTGAAAACAAACTTTCTGCTTTCTCAAATAAGCACCTCTATATAACTCTGAGAACTGCCACATTAAGTCACATAAGAATTATGTGTCATCAAAACAATTCAGTCACACTGTGACTGTTCAGTTCTGCATTTTGATTTAGTGAGAACTTCCCTTCTTTCTGTCTCTGAAAAAAATGAATCTAAGCCTTTTTTTTTAGACTAATGATGGTGTAGTTACAATCACCTTGATTTCTGAAACTGAATCATATTAACACTGAATATTACCTGTAAAGTCTCTCTGGATCACCAGCAAAAGTTAAAACAGCTTTAACAACAAATTGCTCCTTTCCTGTTTTCATTCCCATCATCCTGCTCCTTTCCTGTCATTCGTGCATTTTCCCAGTTGTAAAAATTTGTTTAAACTTAACCTTAACGGAAAGCACTGAGAATAAGTGGAGAGTTAAATGAAAACTCTGATAAAATATTATTCCATCTTACAATATTGTTGAAAACAAACTAGTAAAGCAGTTCACAGAGACCTCTCCACAGAGTATATTGTGATGTAGAGTTCACCAGAAAGGCACTGTGCTCTAACTTTTGGGGGCTTTCTGCATTTGCTTGCCTTTAAAAGAAATGCATACTTGCATTAATACAGCATGTATTAAAACTCATTTCTTTCCATTTGAAACACGGCTGCTACCTCAGTTGAATAGACAAGCATAAACACTGTCCTAACAGAGCTGATTATATGGGACATTCAAATACCAGCATCAATAGTCATCCTGGACAAAATACAACAACTGTAGACTGCTGTACAGGAATTTCTTCATCTTGTTAAAGCAGTGCACACCTGCTCCTGTATATAAAGCCAGGAAAACAAAACAAAACCAGGTCTAGGAGGTAGGTCAAAATTCTAGCCAGATCCCTACCCTTTCCACATTACCATTCTAACCTGCTCAGTACTACCATTTGAGGATGGAAATGCAGTTGAAACACGCCTCTGCTCTTTACTTTATGTTTTTACGATAACGTTTTACAAAAGCAGAATTGGATCAAGAGGCATGCAAAACTTTCCCCCCAAATCCATCACAGTACAATCACAGCACAGGACAGCATCCTGGACTCCACAAGAACCATGTCAGATTCTTGAAAAGCAACCCAGTGCACTTCTCTTGGCCTTTCAATTTGGTAAAGCCAAATGGAGAGTGATCAAAAAAACGGCTTTTCCTATTGTGCACACAATACCAAACAAATTACCGTCCTGGCAACAAGGCAAAAAAGAAAGCAGTAACTTTCTACAAAGTGTTTCAAATGCAATTTAAATGAACCCACTTACTGAGTGGGCTTTAAGGTTTCCTTGGAAGAAACAGGGTTGCATTGGACAGGAGGATGAGATAACCACATTCTTTATGGGAAGGTCTCAGAGCCAGACTGTTGATTTGCATACAGTAAAGAAAAAAAGTAACAGAACCACTACCAGTAAGTAACTCCACAGCACTGACTTTTAAAGTGACTGGAGGGGTGACAACAGTAAATTTGCTCAGATGGGACTACAGTACTTTAGAGGCCTTAGAGATGCTACACAGTATGCAAAACTTTCAATCCCCCACCACAACATGTTTTGTTTATAAAAACTGCTTAACTGTTAACTTGAATTTTTTCTAGCCTCATTAAAGCCATTTGCCGACAGGAATCATTACAGCCTTCTTTTATTCTGAAAATAATGCACTGAATGCTTTAAAAAAAAAACAAAACAAAAAAAAACCCACAACCAACAACAACAAATGACAACCATTCTTTTTTGCCCATGTAAAAAATACATGTTCCCCTTAATTCCATTAAATTTGCATATTTATGCAAAGCACTTAAAAGAACAATTCAGTAGTGCCATTAGTAATTGTGTAAGATTACAAGTCAAAGATCTTAGAAACACTGAGTTCAATTTGGAACTGGAAGCGCACTCATATCCTACTTGGATACAAACTGAACACAGAACTTTGGGACATAAAAGCCCTATTATTTCAAGGGGCATTCATCGTACTGCATTCCATTGTGCAACAACACGTTTCAGTCTGACACACATAAATTAATCCCCTTCTAATAGGCTACAGTATCAACTGCAATTTATCTTTTGTTGTACAGTAACATTTATTCCCCTAAAGAATGTACATGCAGGCAGCCTCCACTGTGTTTTTTAACTATCAGTTTGAAATAGAATTTCCAAAACGTCCTAATGATGAAAGAGCCAACATTCTGTTTGCAAAACTCATGTAAGCATTTATTGACCAAAGAAAAAAATCCAGAAAATTCAGTAGGTTGTAGGATGTAGGTGTTTTTGAAAACGTTATCATTGAGCAGTGCTTCATACCTTGACTTCTAGCAGGCATAGATGGAAGCAGCCTGTTTCAAAGAAGTATGCATCCCAGCGTAACACTTAAGCATGCTGTTTTAAAGATAAACCTCTGAAACATAAACCATCATATCTTGAAGTACATTAGATAATATATTATAATGAAGAATGACTGTAAACATCTCCCATGTTTCACATTAATTACTGTTAAGTGTTCCCAAATTTCACCTCCTACCAAATTTGTTAATTCTAGGAGTTCAGAAATTCACTATCTGCACATTATAACACATCCCATTCAATTCCAAGAACATAAGCAACTTCATTCCTTCTCCAGTCCTCTGGGGAAAAAAAAAAGAGTCCACATATAATACAAAACATGGTACTTTGTTCCAGAGCCCACAGTTCTGAAACAGAATTGGATTTCCATAAGGATACGAAGGTTAAAAAAAGTCACCACATAAACCTCTGGATTTCTACACTATTGGGCCACTGGAATGTTTTGTTTAGGAAAAGATAAAATGTTACTGCATTCACAACAGTGTAAAAAGCCAACTCAACAAGTTGTCTATAGACGGGTGGGAATGGAATATTGAGCCTGTATATTAAGAATGGCAAAATAAAGTAACGGAACTCTAACAGCTTTTGGGGAACTGTGACTGATAATAAACATACAAAATACATTAAGATCCAGAATATCGATTTTGATTTTATTGTATCAACAAAACTCCAGCCAGCAAATATATAGGCTGGAACTAACACATATTTTACAAGCTCATGTCTTTGGAAGATTTTTCTCCAAACATAGAATGTGTAATGTCTATTATCTGCTAGCAAATACTTATGAACATAGGTAAACTTCCAAATCAAGAACAAAGAGATGGCAGCGATTAGGATGTACTGCACACGGTGCCTTCGCAATGACTGCAGGAATTTCCTGATTTTAGCAGGGGTCAGTAAATGAGGGAAGGAAAAAAAGAGAGTAAAGGACAAAAAATAGAACAGCTGGGGAAAGTGCAAGCAGGCTTCATGGCTACTTCTGTCACCAACAACTATTCCACCATTGACGAAGACAAAAACAAAGAACGCAGCTACTAACACAATGTATGGCCATGTTAAAGCAATAAGTGTAATTAAGTTTTTAGGAGATATGAGATATTCAATAAGAAACCGCGTGATTAAGGTCAGATCAGAAAATGATGTTCTCATGGAAGAGATCCTTTCATCCTTCTTTTTCAGTAACTCTGTCTTCCAGCCTTCATTTAGCTTTTCTGCAACAACATTTCCAGCACAAAAAACTGTCCACATGATATTTGTCTGACGAAACATGAAAGCACAAAATCCAAGCAGAGCTGAAGCCTTATGGTTACCATAAAGGCACATTAAATACGCAAAGAGAGTAAAAAATACTGATCCTGTGTCCGTATAATAAAGGAATGTAAAAAAATAAAGGGTGGGAAATGTTGCAAGAGTTAACGAAGACAAGATTCTCTGGAAACCTGACACAGCCTAGAAAAGAAGCAGAGAAATATGATTAGTAATTCCAACTAAAAGAACACATATATTTGTGAGAATTCCATTATGACAACATAGCATGTCCTTACACCCTTTGATTCCATTGCTGTATGACCACATACGCTACATTTCTGTTAAGCTCCTGCTATGTTAATATAGAATGCTGGACAATAAAATGTTGAAAGACAAACAAAAACATCAAACTTTATTGATAAATACATAGCAAAGAAAATATACCAACTCCTTTTCTACATCGGGGGTTCACATACTTGTGACATCAAAATCATGGTGGGATTGTAACTGCTCCCACATCTAGGAGAAAAAAATACATTAATGGGAAAAAGAAAAAAAATTCAGTCCTTTATGCCACTGCAATCTCATTATCACATTCTGTTTGTAAGACAGCAAAACACACCATGCTGTTTTGTCTTTTGAAGCCAGCTCACTAAATGGCCAGCTCAAGTTTCTAATCTTGGGTGCAGCTTTTATTGTTTATTTTCATCATAATTCACAAGTTAAAAAAAAAACAAAAAAACTTTAAAGAAGATAGGAGATCATACTGTTTAAAACTTCTGCCAATTATCTCACTCGCTCCACAATATGATGCAATTCATATTAAAAAATGCTGCATGATGTTTCTGAAGGATGCAGTGTTGGATGAAACAGTCGCCACCATAAAGAAAAGAGAATAGAGAAAACACTGAGCTCAAAGAAGCAGCAACAACAGAAACACAATTTTTCATGGTAGTACTATTATCAAGATATCTTTTGTTTTCTTATAATTATATTTCGATCTCCAAACATAAAATTAATTATCCCAAAAAAGGAAACAATTTATTGAATTTGATCTAATTTGGTGTCTTACCATGTGCTTAAAAGCACGTGAGTCTCCTGTAAGAAAATACGTCCTTTACAGTAAAGGATTTGGGCAACAGCAAACATGTTCTTATGGATAAAAAGTGAAACTAAAGAACTTTCACTAAGTTGAAAGACTTTGACTAGGCCATTAACCACTGAAAAAAATTTACCTACTGCAATGGTAGATGATTCAACACTTCAAAAATACAACTGTATTTGTCTTGTATCCTAATTGAACTGCTATGGTCTGTATGGGTGGACAGCTAAATAGGTAAAAATGGGCTGTATCAAATTCTATCCAACGGTAAGAATACTGGAGGCATCTCCACTGGGACCTGTCCTGTTTAACATCTTTCTCAGTGACCTGCAACAACAGAGTACACAGTGCAGTAACACTGACCTGCGATGACTCAGACAATATACTCAAGGACAGGGCTGCCATTCAGATTGACCTACACAGGCTAGAGAATAAAGTTACAGAAATGTTATGAAATTCAACAAAAGCAAATGTAAATGCCTGTATCTGGGAAGCAATCTGTGCAATGACACAGCCTTGGCATGGAGAAGTTGAGGATCCACTTTGGAAAAGGAACTGGGGTTCTCAGGAGGCAGCAAAGTGAAAATGAACCACAATTGTGCCCTGGCACAAAAGAACAGCAACAGCCTCTTGAGCTGCATTGGCAAAAGGTAGCAGCAGTCAAGGAAAGCAATTATCCTTCTCTATTCCATGTATGTCATGCTGTGTTTAGTATACCACATCCAGTTTTGTGTTCCATAATGGGACAAAGGCATTACTGAACTGGAGCAAAGGCAAAGGGCCACCAAGACAGCAAAATGCAGAAGCACCTGCCCTTAGAAGAGAGGCTGAGGGAGATGGCCTTGCTCAGCCCAGAAAATAGATGGTTTGGGGGGGATTGAACAGCAGTCTACCCATGAGGAAGTTATCAGATAAAGGGAGTTGGGCTCTTCAAACAGCGCTTGGTTGGAGGACTGTAAGAGATTATTTTGGTAACTTCTGTGTCTCAAAGCTTGCTGGGGACACAGATGGACTGTTCAAGTCCAGACAAGTCCCGAGCAAGGACCGTGAAAACCTTTGTCTTCAAGAGACAGATGGACAAGTCCAGGCAAGCCCTAGGCAAAGGTTGTGAAATCCTTTGTCTGGGGGAACTTAGATGGACGAGGCCAGGGGCAACGAGAGCGAGATGAACTGCAGCTAAATAGCTGTGAAGTGCAAGGACAAGAGACAATGGGTATAAACTGAAACACAAGGTTCAGACTGGATGTGGGGAAAAAAAAAATCACCAGTCTTCTATCATGAGGCCAGTCAAGCAGTGGAACAGGTTGCCCACTGAGGTGTTGTCACTGAGCAACCTGGTCTGATCTCAGGGTTTGTCTGCTTTGTGCTGGAGGTTGGACTATAGACCTCCCAAGACCTCTCCCAACTTGAACTGTTCATAGAAGAATAGAGTGTTCCAAGCTGGAAGGGACCCACAAGGATCACCAACTCATAGCTCCACACAAGATCACACAAAAATCAAACCATAGCTCTGGGAGTGTTGTCCAAACGCTTCTTAAACTCCAATAGCTTGGAGCCATGCTCACTGCTTTAGGCAGCCCATTCTGTGCCCACTGCACGGTGTGATGCAGAGCCTTTCCCGAGCCCCTTTTCCCGCCCCTCCCCTGACGCAGCTCCATGCCGTTCCCTCAGGCCCTGTCGCTGTCACACAGCAGAGCTCAGCGCTGCCCCTCCACTCCCTGTGAGGAGCTGCAGCCGCCATCAGGCCTCCCCTCGGCTCCTCTGCTCTGGGCTGAGCAAACACAGGGACCTCAGCCGCTCCTCATACGTCTTTCCCTCCAGACCCTTCACCAACTTCATATCCCTCCTTTGGACACTCCAATAGATTTACGTCTCTGATACTGCAGCACCCAAACAGCACCCAGTGCTGGAGGTGAGGCAGAACAGAGAAGGACAAGCTCTCCTCTTGCCCACTGGCAGTGCTGGGCATATTGCACCCCAGAGTACAGTTGGCCATTTTGGCTGCCAGGGCACACTGCTGGCTCACACGGAATGTGCCATCAGCCAGAACCCCCAGGCCCTTTTCCATGGGGCTAGAGTTCTTTTCAACTTGCATTATTTTCCAACTAAATACTGGCACTGAATGTAGTACCTTTTCTAAAGAACTTATTTTGATTCAAACGTGGTTTACAGGGCTTCATTCAGGTAGAGCTTTGTGGAGAATCCTAACCAATTAAATTAGTTATTATCCTTTAGACAAGTTTGCATGCAAATTGTTTCAAGTTTTATTTCACAGAATTTCATAGAATTGTTTGACTTGGAACAGAACCTTAAAGGTCATCTAGTCTAATTCCCTTTCAAAAAACAGGGACATGCACAGCTAGATCAGGGTGGTCCAGCCTGACATTCAATGTCTCCAAGAAAGGAGCATCCACCACATAACTGGGCAACCTGTTCCAGTGTTTTACTACCCTTTTTATTAAAAAAATGCTTTCCTTATACCCAACATAGATCTCCCCTCTTTCAGTCTGAAATTATTTCCCCTTGTCCCATCGCAACAGACCCTGCTGAAGAATCTGTCCCCTTCCTTCTTACAGCCCCCCTTCAGATACGGGAAGGCCGCTATCAGCCTTGTCTTCTCCAGTCTGAACAGCCCCAGCTCTCCGCCTGTTCTCATAGTGGAGGCGTTCCATCCTTTGGATCATTTTTATCATTTTTGTGGCCCTCCACCAGATGTGCACCAATGGGTGCACATCTCTCCTGTACTGAGGACTTTACATCTGGACATAGAACTCCTGGTGAGTTCCCATCAGCGTAGAGGGGCAGGACCAACTCCCCTAACCTGAGCCATGTTTCATTGGGACCACTTATCGATATACATAAGAGTAAATTTTTGGAGGATCAAACTCAGACAGAGAATATGTTTTTCCTTTTTTTACATAAAAGGCACGTGCCTCCTTGGTGAAACTGACCTGCAATTATATGAAACAAAGAGTAGCACAAATAAGTAAACACACTCAGTCAAGGAATTGTTTGTCCTGGTACATAAAACAATCCTACTTTGTACCTTATTTTTCTGATGGATCTTCAGCAGAAGCAGGTACAGCAGGTAGAAGTTGCCAGCGCTGATGAGGAGGTTGATGAACCTGAGCATGCCGGTGGAACACACCACACTGCCCGTCCAGCCAAAGAGCCAGGCTGCTGGCTTCACCACACCAACCGACAGCAGGTACAGACCCGGAGGGGTGGTGATCATGGGATCCCACTGCAGAATGGGAGACAGGCGTCAGAGGGTTGCTGTCACACAAAAACCTCCCCACAGATGTGCAGCAGGGTTTGGGTATGTAATTCCAACCTCTGCTCTGATTTGTTAATCACAGAATTGTAGGGGCTGGAAGGGATCTCTAGAGATCATTGAGTCCAATCTCCTACTGAAGCAGGTTCCCTATGGCAGGTCACACATATAGGCGTCCAGACAGATCTTGCCTATCTCCTGAGAAGGAGACTCCACAACCTCTCCAGGAAGCCTGTTCAAGTGCTCTTTCACTCTGACAGTAAAGAATTTCTTCCTTGTGTCAGTACAGAACTTTCTCTGTTCCAGTTTGTGCCCGTTTCCCCTTGTTCTACTGTTGCTTGCCACCAAAGAGCCTGTTCCTGACCTGACTCCCATCCTGTATGTACTTATTAACACTGATGAGATCCCCTCTCAGCCCTCTCTTCTCCCGGCTGAAAAGCCCCAGGTCTTTCATCCTTTCCTCATAAGGGAGGTGCTCCAGGCCCCCAGTCATCTTTGTGACTCTCCGCTGGATTCCCTCCAGCAGTTCCCTGTCTTTCTTGCACTGGGGAGCCCAGAGCCCAGACACAATATTCCAACAGTGGCCTCACCGGGACAGTGCAGAGGGGGAGGATCACCGCTCTCGTTAATGTGGATGTCTAACGAATTTCAGGCACCAGCAACCAGGCACGGCACGCGGGGACCGCCCTTCCGCGTGACTTTAGCTCCCCGCTCCCTCCTACAGCAATCACCCATCCCGAGCGCCGCGAGCCGACAGCGACAGCTGCCGCCCGGAGGCGCCCCTAAGAAAGCGGCCCCGAGGGCCGGGCCCACCTGCAGGAAGCGGCCCTGGCAGTAGGCCTGCGCCTGCGGGACGTGGAAAACCTCGTCCATGTAGGGCTCCCGCAGGCGGCGGTTGACGGCGGCGAAGAGCAGCGACGAGAGCAGGAAGGCGCCGCTCATGGCGGCCGAGAAGCCGTACGCCTCTACACCCTCCATGCCGCCGCCGGGAAGCGGCCGCACGTCCGGGAGGGCCGCGAGCGGGCGGCGCCGGGACCGATAGGCGGGGCGACGGGAGGGGAGGAGGAGCCAGTTGCAAGGCCGCTCAGCCCAGCTGCTGCTGGAGACTTTCTAGAGCGGAGGGGAGCGTTGTTACGGCGCTGTTTTATGTGAGCCCGCAGTAGCGCTGCTCCGTGTGCCCGGCCGTCCCGCCGGCGCTGCGGGATGCACCTCACGCACCCGCTGGAACTGTTCCCCGAGCGCTGCGTCACGCTGCTCCTCTTCAACCGCGTGCGGAACGCCGCTGCCCTGCGGAGGAAGGCCGTGGAGGGATCCATCGAAGGAGCGCTGATAAACCCTGCCATGGTGAGCGGGCGCTTTGCTGTCCTGCTGCGCTGCGGCACGGCCCTGAAGGCCGCGGGGCTGCGCGGGGAGCCGCGCCGTTGGCTGGCTTGGGAACGGGCGCCTCCAAAGTGATCGGTGCGTGATCTGCTAAAAGTTTCTTTTCTGCTTCTGTAAACTCATAACTGCTTTCTGAACGAAGGCCTTTTTGTTAGCAGAGAGGCGGTTGTGGGGGAGGGGAAAGAAAAAGATTTGAATCTGGTAATTTGCTGACATGTTTAGTAGTGTGAGTAACCTGACTTCAGGGTGTAATCTCTGCTGTAAATGTGATTCTCTCACCTTGGTGCTGTGTTCAGTTGTGGGATTCTCACTACAAGAAAGACATGGAGGCCCTGCACCTTGTCCAGAGAAGGGCAGCGGAGCTGTAAGGGGTGTGGAGCACAGGAGTGATGGGGAGCGGCTGAGGGAACTGGGATGGGTCAGTATGGAGAAGAGGAGGCTCAGGGGAGGCCTTATTGCTCTCTACAGCTGCCTGAAAGGAGGCTGTGAGGAGGTGGGAGTCGGCCTCTGCTCCCATGTAACTGTGATAGGGCAAGAGGGAATGGCCTCAAGTTGCACCAGGGCAGGTTCAGGTTGGATATTAGGAAGAGTGGTAAGGAGGGAGGTGGTGGAGTCACTGCCCTGGAGGTGTTTGGTAGCCATGGAGATGTGACACTGAGGGATGTGTGTTAGTGGGCATGGTAAGGATGCAAGAACAGCTGGATTAGATGATTTTAGCAATCTTTTCCAACCTTTATGATTCTAATGATTGTCCCGCTCAGCAAATAATCCATTGACTTTGGAAGAACAAGAACTGCTAAGTTGTACTGCTCGCTTTTATGATTATGGACTTAGGCTATCAAAATTAGTTGGTCATTATTTTGACCAGAGTCCAAAATACTATGCTGAATTTCTGTTTAACTTTGGTTGTATTTTACAGATCGTAGATCCTTTTCAAGTTCTTGTGGCAGCCAACAAAGCGGTTCATCTACACAAGATAGGTAAAATGAAGACCAGAACTCTCAATGCAGAAATTATCTTCAACCTTTCACCAAACAACAATGTAAGATACGCTCTTCAAATGTCATTTTTGCCAGAGAAACTTGCTAATAGCCTTGCAGCCAGACAAGTGTAGTTATCTGCTTAACCTAGCAAACTAATAGAAGTTACTGTTATTTTTAATAACGCGAATATGCTGATATCTCTTGTTGATTTTCAGAGTTCCATTAAGATAAAATGCATTAATTTATTATTTTGGTTTATTTGATCCAGTAACTGAAAAGGCATAGCAAAGAACATGAATATTTTGATGTAATAAGTGTAACATTTTGATGTTTTTAATCTTTTCCTAGATTTCAGATGCATTTAAAAAGTTTGGCATTTCAGACAGTGACACAGCAGTACTCATTGTTCTGGTTGTAGACAGCGAAAAAACGGTAAATCTGGAAGATATAGCATCTCAAGTAGAAGGCCAACAGGTTTCTCTAGATGAGCTTCCCCAGCTAACAGACATTGCCAAAGTTAAAAAGGTATGCAACCAAAAGAGATGGCTGGGTTTAATAAAAGGAATAATGTATGTAATTGTCTGATAGCATATCTCAATTTTCACATAGGGTTTTTATTTCTTTAGCATGATTGTAAACTTCGGGGCTTTTTAAAATGAAACTTGATTTTTAAAAATTTGTTTAAAAGTTTCAGGCATCACACACTGACATCACAAATTTTAATTCATCAAATTCTTTAAGATAATCAGGAAGTTGGACCATAAAAATGAATTGCAGATTGGTGCCTACCATACAGTCACTTTTGCTTCCTGTTTTCTCAGACAAATATGCATATAATTGAAAACAAATTCTCAGTCCTAAGGAATTTCATAATCTTAAATACCCAAATAGTTTCAACGTGGGTGGCTAAATAAAAATGTGTTGACTAGCTGCTAGGAGTTCTGTTAGGGCTTGTGTGCTCTTAACAGATTGCCATATGCTATAAAGGTATCTTGAAGAATACATGTTTGAGGAATATGCTTGAAGAATATCCAGGCCACATATATAATTCAAGTAGTTTACGTCTTCTTGATCACCTCAATGAAAGTAATGGTGGGAGAGAGCAGCAAAATTGGACCAATCATAGCATATCTAAGAGTACTGTTCTCATTCAGTTTCTTTGCTTTCTCTTGTTTCTTGCAGTTTCAGAATTTGCTTGGTTTCTCATTCCCAACTTTATCTAGCCTGCAAGACAAGATTCTAATGTAAAAAGTGGGAAATCTTTTGTGTGCATGTTTTTTGAATGTGTGCAATCCATTTTATTCCTTACACAGCCTTTGTGTTTATTGTTCTTTTTTTTTCCCCACAGATATACAAGATCACTCCTCAGGAAGAAAAAATTGGCACTTTGTTAGATGGCATTGTTTGCAGGATCTCAACAAAAGATGTTTAATGAAAAATGTGGAAATAAATATTTTTTTTGAAGTAAAATGAGGTCTTTTTAAGATATAAAAACACTGCAGTTTATCCTGCATCTCAAAGAAGTCATGTGGTAATGAGTTGTTTGGTGACATTTGAACTTCAACCAGAAATGGGGGAGCTTTGGTGTAGCTGTATTCTAAGCTGTATTCTAAGCATAGAGAGCAGTTTGGCTGCACTAAGCAGAATTTGCTATAGCCATTTCAGTCCATTTTCCAAAGAAGAAGGATGAAGTTTTGCCAGCTCATTAAGCTGATCATAAACAGAAGGCTTAGAAATCTTTATTTCCTCTTTCAGCAAATATTTTATTATCACCAGGTAAAAAAATTACAAAAATTGTAAATCATTCTGTTATTAACCCTACCTTTGATTTGGGACTCCAGTAGACAATATCAGTTGAACAATTCTGCTGCTAGATTTTTCTCTCTCTGTGGTATGAAGTATTGTGGATGGGTGAGAAAAAAGGAAAGTTTTCATGAACTATCTGTATCACCTCCATCTAGAGAAAGGAATGGGATGGTACACCATGGCACCTGCTGATGGGTGCAGTGTAGAAATGCAGCTTCAGAGGTGTGCAGAACAGTGAATAAGATCAGCATGAGTGATGTTGTCACCTGACAACACCTGAAGTCATCAGATGCAATATAGTGCTGAGGTACCAATGTACTGCCACGTTATTTTAGAATTGGAGTTAAAGTATAATGAGAGGTTATTTTATTGCATAACACTGAATTATGTACAGTGATGCAGATTTTTTTAGGGCTTGGTTCCAGGTGCAGAATTCACAGAAAAAACTGGAGAGTAGGTTTACTCACTTTAAATTTTAGATGTAATTCACATAGCGTTCTGAAAGCAGCATTGAACGAATTGCTTTGCTGAACCAGAGGGAGCACCAGGGTAATGAGAATGTTTGTCATAAGATTCAAGAGAGGTGTCTGTGCTGATTCTTGATCTAAAGATGGTTTTACAGGATGTGTTACTCTCTTGAAAGGAAAATGGTGAGGAAGTAGTAAGAGATGGAGCTTGGAGGGCCTTGAGTCTTTTGAAATAAAATGTGTAACACCTGCATGAGAGGATGGCTATAAAATAAGTGTTTTCATTTTCTAACAGTGCAATCAGTATATGGAATATATCGTCAGATTTGCTGTCTCAACTGCTGATATTGTTTGTGGTAGTTTAAAATAACAACAGACAAGTATGCTTAAACCACAGCCTATTTTGAACATTTGTAAATCATTGGTCCACTTGTTGTATGTAAAGAAATATGTACGAAGAGATCACTGTGTAACAATTGATACACATGTTCCAAGCTGGAGTTCTCAGCTCCTAATTCTTGTGAGTCTATTCAATTGTTGTAGAAGAGTAACTAATTTGTTACTATTGTCATGTGTTCTAAGTTAAATTAGGAAAGTGATTTAGTATGAGAACTGTTTTCCTGGGTCAACTTGCTGGGAATTTTATAGCTGAAGATGTTATTTGATGGTACATCTAAGCCAGTCTGAGAACTGCCTCTTGTTAGACTGTGATTTCCCCTCTGGTATTCATTCCAGCAGTTTTCCTTTTGTTTGTTCCAGCATGCATTCGGCTAGCTAAGTCAATTCAGTCTGCAAAATAGTAGTCCAAAAAAGAAGTGGGAAGCTTTTTGCCATGTTAGCGTGATAAATCAGGAGAGCCAGATCAGGAGCAGTGAAGAGGTTTGTCTAGAGATACGGAGAACACCCCCAGTGCCGCAGTGTTTCCTTAACTGCATCCAACTCTGCTCTTCTTGTAGGAAAAAGTGAGGGACTTTTTTTCTGATGGTAGCTCAAACTCCCAGGAATCCATGTGTATTCTTCAAGAAAATAGAGATTTTTCTCAATCAAGATTAATGATTGAAGGTTTTCAAAACACTGAATGTTTTGCTGCTGTGTTGTCAAAACAGTTACGCTTTATCTCCTCTATCCAGATGAGAGAGGAAACTAAAGCATCTTCAATACCCTATTTGAATCTCCAGTGCTTCAGAGCAGAATAATACCTGCAGTATTTACAAAGTCAGCAACAGAATTGTAAACAGTGATGTGCAGCCAGCTGCTCTAGAGTTTTGTGTGTGCTTTTTTGTTGTTTGTTTGTTGCCTGTGCAGCTTTTTCAACATTATGCATGTGTATGATGAGTTGTTCTGAAAGTCAGTGGCTAAAACCTAATATT